CCTCCTCCTCCTCCTCCTGGCCTGACTGGACTCCAATAGGTGTCTGTGTTGTTGGTCTTGTTTGCACGTTGGTAAGCTGGAGCTCATTAATAGAAAAATCTGCCCAACTCCGAGCGCTACTCTCAAACCAGGCAAGGACAGATGTGCTCCTGTGTACTCTGTAACACGGATGCTCTCAAGGTTCAATGTCGGGTGAGCGCAGGTCAGAGAATGGAGCTAATGGGGCCGACATCAGGGGCTTCACTGCTCTGCAGAACAGGTGGCTCTGCTATAAGAACTGGCCCTTAAAAAGTACGCAGTATGTGTGTGCTCGGAGACCCCTCCTTAAAGCTGGCAGCCAGGAAGCAGTTCTGAGAGCACCTTCCCTGCCCTTTTATCTGTTCAGCCATGGTGCGTGCTGTCAGAGAACAGGCAAACACAGCGGTGCGGTGAGGCTACTCACAGCGCCCCAGGGCTTTCAGATCTGTGCGTGCCCTTGATAAAGAGGACAGGTAGAGAGGTGACTGGGTCAGTACAGGTTCCCCACCCAGCCTCTTTCCCTTCTCCTCCAAAAGGAAAAAAAAAGCACACTTCCACATTGACTGTCTCGAGAATAGATACTGATCTATTTGATTGGGAAGGTAACAGATGATGGATATGAAAGATCTGGTTCTAAAAAGCATGTAAAGAGAAATTATGCATATCAGATATTACTTCCTGGATTTATTTTACATAATTAAGAGACATGTAAAAATATGCTGGCCCTAGATTACTTGCACTGCTATTGACTTGGCTCAGAAATATAGGCAAATATACATACAACATGGGCATCCTCTGCCCAAAATGCTTAGGACCAGAAATGTTTTAGGTTTGGGATATTTGCATGCACAAAGATGAAATTCAGTTATGTTTTGTATATGCCTTATACACACGGACAAAAGATCTTTTTACACTGCATTTTTAAGGTTGTGATTTTCTATACTTTACCAGCATACCTGTATTTGACCGCAGCCGGTCCTATGAGGGCAGGTGTGGGATTTCGCACTTGTGTGTGAGGCCAGCACTCTGAAGATTTCGGACCTAGGGTCCCTTCAGACTTCAGATGTTGGATTTGGGATGTGTAACGTGAATATGAATGGCAGAACAGGGTACTCCAGAGGAGCCCCCGCTCCCCAGCAGCCTGGCACCGTGATACACAGAGGGAAATACAAGGCTTCATTCAGCCCCCAGGATATCACCTCTCTCCAGCCACCAACTTCACCATTTCAGATACTCATAATTCCACAATGGGAAATTATATCACAAAACAAATAGGTATTGTTTAATGTAGCAACAGCTCCCCCACAGATCTCCTCTGGGTGTCTGTGTGTGCACGACACCAAGATGTCACCTTCCTGACCAGCAGTCAGTCATGGTGATCCTGGCCCTTCATTTTGTAAACACTTACCTCTGCAGTGTGCTCTGTTCCAAAGTCCTCTCGGCCTTGAGCAAAACAGTCACCACCTGCCTACACCCCAGGAAACCAGTATATCCACTGTCTTCCCTTTTACTTAGGAGAAGGGAGGGTGGTGTTATGTAATTAAGTTCCCCTTACATTGTTTCATGTCCTGAGACACCTTTAGGACAGTGACACGGGGCTCTATGAATAAGCAGTCCAGGACAACAGGCATAAAACCGCAACTGTCCCCAACAAACTGAGATGAGGTGTGGGTGTCTGAGAAAAGTTTTAAAAGATGGGACCTGGAAGTCAGGAAACCAGGTTCCAACCCTCCATTCTGCCGGAAACTTATCATGAGGACCAACTTTCTCAGTTCTCTGGCCCCGCATTTGTGAGATGGGCTTTAGCCTGTGTAGTGTCTAGGTGTCTTACAATTCTAAAATCCTCTCATTATGCCTAAGCAATACAAAGATGAATATGACATATTCTTCACCCTCAGAGGCTTGGGCAGCTAAAATACAGAAAATTGTAACAGTTCTGCCTGGCACTACCCAGAAAACAGTAGAAAATCTCTTCTCATTTGTTTCATTTTGAGAATCTTTGACACTGTTGTCCATCTCAGAAGCCAAACTAAGAGTAGCATCATTTATTTACAAATGAAAAGCTCAGTTTAAGCTATCTCCTTTTCTTTGACTATTATGACTCACTTTATCTCTGTAATATGGACAACATGGTAGGTAGTTATATAGAAAGGGACGAAATAAATGATGTTTCTACTTCTTGCCCCAAAACCAGGAAGCAAAGCATTTTGAGACACTTGAGGCCAGAAAATGATTATCAAATAAATTTATTTTTATATACAGTCTAATGACAACTTCTTTTGATAACTCAGTTTCCAAAGTCAGAGTCAGGGGCCAGGGATTTAGCTCAGCGCTTCGGTGGCCTGCCTTGCAAGCGTAAGGACCTGAGTTAAATCCCTGGTACCAAAAAAAAAAAACCAAACAAACAAAGAGTCGGATACTTTTAGATTCTGTGGATCTAAAAGTAACAGATTTCAGCTCCTTTCACAAGAAAGACTTTGTCCCCGCAAATACTGCAACTATTCAGCTGCCACTGGTCCTTGGAACTA